ATGTGGACCTTTGGTGATTTGGGAGGGGGAGTGCGTACGCACCCCCACCCCATGCTTACAGGCCTGTTAAAGTGGCATTTATCAACTTACAAAGGACTCCAAGTGATCTGAAGGTGTCATGGAATACAAAAATATGAGCGTTAGCTCATGGCTTTTTACCAAAATTAGTTAATTTTTAAAACCTGGTCCGATTTTTCCTAGATTCGGCCACATGAGCCTAATTGAGTATCATCCGATTTATCGTTATTTAGCATTCCTCTTTGGGGGTTATCGATTCATGGGGAAAAGAACACGTATACAACTACCGGTACTCATTTTGTTATGGATGTATACACATATAACAGGCCTATTTACTGTAAAAATAATGAGAAAGTTTATCTGACCATGGAAAACCTTGAATTTTTAAGGACTTTTAAAGTCCTTAAGTCATTAAAAGACACCTACTCAGTAGGTCAAAGTCGGGAAAGCTCATTTCCCGCCATCTAGGAATCAATCAAAATTTTCCCGGAAGAATACCCCTTCTCTTTAGAACTTAAAATTCATTAAAAGACAGTTCAGAAGTCGGGAAAGCTCATTTCAAGCCATCTAGGAATAACCATTTACTCGGGGAGAACCCCGGACCCCCTTTCATTTTTGGGGTTTTTGGAAATATTTTGATCCCCCACCCCCTAAATTTCAACCCAGATCCGCCCCCTGGTGGTTATGATGACACTGATGATGAAGTTGATGGCGATGATGATGATGATGGTGTGTGGTGGTGGTGGTGGTGGTGATTATGATGATACTTATGATGATGATGATGGTATTGGCGGGGGTGATGATTTTAATAGCGATGATGATGATAATGATGATGATGATGATGATGGTAGTGGTGGGGATGACGAGGCTTGTTTTTGTATGTTTATGTACATTCCATTTTTTTTCCATCCTTAATTTTAGTAGTCCTAATTAAGATTAATTTTGAAAATGTTTAGAGGTATAAATATAAAATAACAACTAACTATTATGTTTTGGGGTGGACACAATGGTATTATTGGTCAAGCCGGTCCTCATTACTTGCAATCAAATTGTATAACCCTGTTAATGTGAGGGACATTCATTATTGTCAAGTATGCATGTGCAATTTCCCGGCAGAGGAACCATTTTATCAAACCATGGTGGTTGAGGGGAGAGGTAGCGGCTCCGAATGGTTACCAGCTGCTATTTCCGGGCATTCAGGGGTGCTTTGTTCACCAACATGGTGGGGTTGGGATGGATATGCACCCAGACCCCATTAACCATAAATCCTGTACCCGTAGCGGGTCTGTTTAACAGCTAAATATGTTTAGCCCCTGTCCCGCTTATATTATAATGGCCGGACGACTTGCAAAATACCTCCGATCCGTCAGTTATGACAAAGTATGCCCATTCCCTAATATTCAAAAAGTCCACTTCCTAACCATATTAATATAAACCACGATTCGACAAAAAAAAAAATACCGGAGTGGAGTAAAGCGAGAAAGCTGCGCCAATTAAAAACAGAAAAACGAACAAAAATGTAATATTTTAAATTATGTCACCAAGCTATGTTGGTCTAATTATTTAGCATTATTCCATGTTTAGAAATTCCGATATGAAATGTCATACATCGTATTTAGTATAGTGTACTCTCTCATATTTTTCTAACCCTAAATTAAGTAGCAATAAATGACATTCTCAAGGACACCTGACGCACTTCTTTATGAATGATGTCACATCAATAAATCATCTTCTGATCGGATTATATTTTCCCTTGATTCATGTTTTTTTGGTAGAACAAAAATTCAGGTCGCTTGCTGCCGGGTGAACACTGGTTTATCAAAACTAAAGAGCTGAGGGCTTGGCTGTAAGTGGAGCAGGAGTTTGAGGATCTAAAAATAATCTCATAAACTTGGTTAACTTTCCTCTTCCCGGTGGAATTGACTTTACTTAGGCCTACCCCTTTTCCTTTTTAACTCAGGGCTTAATCCATGAGCAAATTAAATACAGTATTTGCATTGTTTTCTATGCATAGCCTAAGTTATATGCACTAAGCTTTTAATGTAAAATTAAACAGAGGTTAAAACAAACCAATTGCTTAACGAATACTCATGGGGCCGGCGGGGGAAGGGGCGATGTCGAGGGCCTTTTTCTTTTTACTCACGAAGTGGGTAATTTTCCTATCTAATCTTGGCTAAAAAGACTGGTCAAGGCTCTATTATTACTGTGCTGAAAGCGGTACAGTAGGAAGAGCTCGGGGTCCCCTTTTGGGGCAGTTGCGGCCCCCAACTCAAGGGCGTTACGAAACTACAGACGCATAAATAACACAGTGCTTGTGTTCTTTGTAGGCCTATGTAGGCCTAATTGGCGGTAATCTGCAATTCAGCGAACCTTCTTCGTTTCAATCTGTGTCCTATTGAAAGTAGACAAAGCATTGATCTTCGTAAATAAATTATTAAATTTAGTGCGTTTGGATTTTTAAAAATTCTCTTTATCTATAGGCTCTCTAAATAAGGTTTATTTATACTTATGTGATAAATAATCGTAGGCTTGATAAATATTCATAGGCATATTAATGCAACATAACGATTTGATAATTTAGTAACATTAGGGCCTATAATAGGATAGGCCTATCAAAATCTAAATAGCACCTTTTACGTATGAAAAAACGTATCTATTGCCTAAACGACATTCCGTTGACATTTAATAATAATAATAATACCAATAATAATAATAATAATAATAATAATAATAATATTAATAATAATAATAATAATAATAATAATAATAATAATAATAATAATAATAATAATAATAATAATAATGGCATCTTGTAAGGCGTACACATCCATCTCAGGGAGCTGCTCGCGGCGCCATTTCCACTTGCAAAGAGAGACAGCCTTTTCTGCATTTCATTTATTATATTTATAAAGGTTATTTAATTTTATATCCATTTTCTTTTTATTTATTTATTTATTTTTGTTTAAAAAAACGTAAATATACATTAATTATCAACTTAACTACAGAGAACAGGCAAAACAAGCACAAGACCTTAAAGTTGTTCTGCTAATGAGGCGTCCTATTCGTCTCACGTACAAATACACATAATGGTCACATAACCAGAGATCATTATGTTAAGTTACGTTGCTAGCCTACGTGAGCCAATCAAGTTAGTGAAAAGATCTCACGTGGAAAAACTGAATGTGTTCTTGAATATAATTATGTCATCTCTTTATGCCACTTGAAATCAAGCGAACGAATGTTCACCAATCGATCAAAAAATAAATTAATCGATCAGACAACCAATAAATCAGTTAATCAATAAATCAGTCATATCAATAAATTTATTTGGAACATCATGTGTATGCATTATACATGACAATTGTATTCATCAGTCAGCCAGCCAGTCAGTCAATAAAACAATCAATCAATCATTCAACCAATCAACCACCAAACCAATCAATCAATCTATAAACTATTCAATTAATCAATCAATCTTTTAGTCAACCACACCCAATATTTTTTTTATATTTTTTATTTTATTTCTAAAGTTTTAATCAATAAGCTAATCGATTAGACAACCACTAAATAATAAAATCCAGTTAATCAATAAATTGGTCTAGCAGTCACATTAATAAATTTATTTGGGACATCATGTGTATTTGTATGTATTGTACATAGCAGTTGTATTCATCATCAGTCAGTCAGCAATCAATCAATCAATCAATCATAAATCATACAACTGACCATCTAATTAACCAGAAAATCAATCAGCTAATCAATAAATCAGTCAATATAATTGGAACATTATGTATTTGGATGCATTGTACAAGACAACTGTATTCATCGTCATCAGTCAGCCAATTGATCAATCAATTAATTAATAAACGCAAATCAATCAGTTAATCAATAAACCGGTCAAATAAATAATGTTTTCTTTTTTGGTTGAGGTTACCGCCATTTTGAAGACTAAACAATTACTGTACATAAGTGGAAAATCATACGTATACCTTATTCAAATGCATTGTACCCGATAATTGTATTCACTAATCGATCGATCAATCAATCAATCAATCAATCATTCTATTTGGAATGCTATCATGTCTACTTGAATGTATAATGCACAGTAGATGCATACTAACATAATGATTCGTTCCATAAATCATATAAGTACTGTAGTGTATTTTGTCCAGGTGTCATATTCTGCTTTCAGTCATTTCCCCGGATACAGTCTGCCCTCTATACATTTCGGTTCAATAGAAATTTGTCCCAAAGTTGAAACTAAAGTAATGGATTGATGAAACAGCGCAACTTCCTCTTGGTATTGTAATTAGCCTTTCCTTGCCTCACCCAGTGTATGTTTCTAACAATAAAACAATTCGATCTTTAATTTAATGTCCCATAAAATGACAATGTGAACAAGCGTCTACACAGCACTCAATGTAGAACTAACTGGTATTTGAATTCGTTCATTCCATTCTCCATCAGATTACATAACAATAACGGCTAGATATAATTTCTCTATACTCATTAAAAGGTCTTATCTCTGTATATTTTTACTTTATACTGTTTTGTGTATTTTTGCTATTCTTAGTTTTTATTTCTTTGTATTTTTGGATTTCATTATATTGTGATTGTTGCCTTAAATGAGTTTCCGCAAGGACCAAATATATTTGAATCTGAATCTGAAAACGTAGGCCTACCTAAACAGGTGTCCTCATCTGATTGGTCAGTTATTTTGGTTTGAAACTATTAAAACAAAGTCCAATACTGATACTGGTCAGAATTATAAAAACAATGCTGTTAAACATTGCAACGTCGTTGTAATGCTGTTAGGTCGTTAACTGTTGACCAATCAAATAATTAGAGTAATCCAACAGAACCATATTGCCGAAAGCCTCTTTTAAAGGCACTTTATGAATTAAATGTAATATTACAAGTTTGATAAATATTTATATTTAGTTTTCTTCAAGACTTGAACAAACATACAAATTATTGTCAAATCCAATTTCTCTGTATTTCAACAGTGATTTATTGAATAACCATTTCATTAAAAAATGATGTGGCAGAAGATAGGGTATATAACATAGAAAAACATAGAATACGAACACAAAAATACACATGCAAAACAAGTTGAGATGTTTTTGAAATCTACAAGTATGTAAAGGATTTAACAGATAAATAAAAATTTCATGTTTAGAAAATTCTAAATATCTAACTCTAGATTTGCAAAGAATAAAGTTGTATAAAATATTTGTAAAAATTATACAAATCATTAACATGTACTTTAGTAGAATTAGGCCAAATTAGAGAAAGACAATGTTACTCGTCAAGGATTTTCAACAGGATGAGGCCTTTGTTATGTCCTCGCCAAGATGGCTAAAAACAAAACACAAAATTTCGTCCTTGGATAAACACTGATTATGAGGATATTTACAGTATATTTCAACATATAAGTAAACTGAATAAAATGGTCACCCAAAAAAAGTGACGAGAAACATAATCTTCGTTTTTAAATTTGACAAAATACATTATAAATTAAGGTAGGTTTAGCACATGTTAGCATATTTATATCACCATGCATTGAGTACTTAGAAAATAGCATCTTCTATTAAAATAAACAAGCATTGGAATTTTAAAAAGCCATTAAAATTGTTCTCTTATCAATACATCAATAGTAACAACAGTTTATTATATCACATACTGCAATATATCAGACGGTTTTTGTTTATCACATTGTACATATGCAAATTTAAATTAGAACCAAATGAATGTATGCCATACTATAACATTATGCTATACGCCATACTATAACATTATATGCTATATTTGTTCTATAATGAATATTTGGAAAGTTGTACAAAAATAGCAACATGGAAGAAGTATGCTAAATATAAACCTTCATTAAATGAGGAAGGTTATGTCACAAGTTGGAACATCTAAATAACATGCTTAATTTTATATTTGAATTCCAATTAATGGAGTTGGCACTATCATAATCTGTTTATAATTATACAAAAAGGAAACACTTACTGACCTATTTTAATCTTTTAACTATGACCCTGATGGAGCAGAAATATCTGTATATTAAATACTTAATATTTTAGTAAAGTTTGTTCAGATTGCATGCTTTTTGAATGGGTAACAAACACAATGACAAGAATATAATACCCTGTGTATTTGTTCCTTCAATGTTTAAATACAAAACCTGTTTAATACACATATGGACAACACAACCTATATAATGACGTGAACTTTAATATTTTGTTTGAATATATTAATGATGAATAAACCGGAGATGATTAAGTAGAAGTCAATGATCCATTGATAATGAATGGCATAAGTGAGGGGAGGCCTACAACAGTATTTTACCAAGCTATGTACAATAGGTTGTATGAGGTAGGGTGAATTCAATGAGAGGGGATACAGAGAATTTGACGATAAATACATTGGAGCTGTGGATTCGTAGTTAAGGAACTTGCCTTTTAACCCATGGTCCTGGGTTCGAATCAAAAGACAACATGATATTATGCCTCAAAGTAAAATAACAGCAATAATAAAATAGCAATTAGTGATAAAATACATAATTTAGCATCTTATTATAATACATGCTTCCATGATAAAAGAACCCTAGCAATTACAGTATAAGTTTAATAGAATAAAATGTCAATACTTCTAAAGACAGCAATGAAACATCAAGCTAGTGTCCAGGTATGTGTGAGCTGACCCAACCTGCTACCACTCAATTCTACCAATTGAGTCTTAGCATCATTTTACACAGAATTTAAGTGTAAACTAAATATTGAGGAAATTAATATCCTGGGTTGATCACACAATCTGTGCCTAATTTGTTTTTGATTAAACAAAGGTACACTTTACAAGCAGAAGGGAATATTTGCCCAGCGACACATTGATTAGAGGAAGTTTTGTATTACAGAATGGAATGTTTGCAGTCCGAAAACGTGATACAAAGTAGTAATGCTGAACAATACAAAGCGATTGGCCATCAACTTTACTACTACCATACTCTATGAAATGGAAACAACTGACGCTACTTTTACATATGATCTGCCATCACTCTACCACATATGCTTTTAAGACATGACCTCCCTATGCTTTTCATCAAAAAGATATGACACCTTTAACTTCCTACATGTGTTAATACTAAAAATGGTATGGTACCGATCTCTATTAATATTATGAATGTATATACACATAATGATCACAATGCTGGATGAATCTATCAGGGAGAAACTAAATTAAAGGGAGCGATATCTGAATAATTCTTGCGGGGGCACAGTGATCGATAGAATTATGATACTCAGCGTTATTATGCACCACACACGAGATCTAATGTATTAAAAACCTAGTCAATCCCACCTCTTAATCAATGGCCTTCATTGAATAACCTATAGCAATAAATTATGCATAACACGATGCACATCACCTAATTTTAGATAATCAGAGATCATTTCATGTTATGGATTTGCACTCAAGACTTTTGGTAAAGGTTGAACGTGGTAACTACTATAGGAAGGCCTAGAAAAGGAAATCCTATTAACAGGTGACGGGTATAAACAGCTCAAAAAGGTATCAACCCTTAATAATGTAAAGCTTTATATTGCTTTAAATGAAGTTAATTTTAGATCTTTCAAAAACCGGAAACACTTAATTCGCACGGGTATCCCAGAGATTTTGATTGAAGCTATTATATATACTTAGTTTCTTCCTTGATTTATTGGTAAATGAAAAAGATCTATTACTTTTGTTCTGCTTTATTTTATTACCTTTCATTATCTCTTTAGCAGTTGTTTGTAAAAAGCATTGTCTGCCTCTAAAAGACCACCCCAATTCTGTGAAAGTTTTAAGAGGTTTAAAGGCTTATTTAGTTACAAAAACCACAAAGTATAATGGTTTGCGATGTCTTGAAAGCTTAAAACTAGGTGATTTCTATAAACTTGAATATAAGAAGTCTAAACACCTATACACATGTAATCTATCAAGTTAGTGTGACCTGGTGGAAATGTTTACTAACAAAATATAAACTCCATATGTGTGTTGTGATGTGTTGTGATGTTCCCATACATGTGAATCATGATGACATATTACACTGAAATATAGGCAAATTACAGTTATTTGTCACCTAAAATTTGATGTGGACAAAGCATTATTTTAACCTTAAATAATGGAAGATATAGTGTTACGTAGAAAGAAGATGACGTTATCCTATAATGAAAAAAACTCATACTGGAGATGTAGTGTCTACAATAGCTTGTGTCTAATCTAACACAGCACATTTTAGAACAATGTACAGTATTTAGCTGAGTCTCAACATCTTGCTGAAACAGTAAAAGAATGTACCTTGGTACTTAAACAGAAATAGCACATAAAAAAAAAATCAGCTTTGATGATCTTCTGTGAACCAATAAAGATCAATACATTTCTGGCAATTAATAACAATAAGAAAAGCATTATTATAGGCCATTGTTATTGGGTTTATTTTGAAACAGCGCAACCAATGTCTCGCAACTCACCGGGGGAATTTGTGTCAAATACAGCGCTGCGCACACACTAGTAACTACATCACGCGAAATGCGTAGGCCTCTGGGGTGGAAGTCCCCCAGTGGTAGTTGCCAGGTTATTGGAATTTTTATTCAAAATTTCACAATGGTCTACTGTATATATTAGTCTTTTCTTAAACATGCTGTTCTTGCTGTGTGCTAGTATTAATTATTGAATATTTATAAACTAAAACTAAATAGCTTATAATTACACAATTTTAATGAGGTAAAAAAAAAAAGCATGAAAAAGTGTACAGTATATATGAACTCATATGTACAAGATAATTTTTTTTCTATTTAAAAAAATCTTTCCTTTAAAAAACATCCACAAATATAACAAAACTTATGAAATTTGAATAATTGTGAATTGTAACAAAACAAGTTTATATAAAAATCACAGAGTTTGGATAAACGAAAGTACAAATGATTTTTTTTTTTACTGCAGCTATGCTTTTAAGTTATCATCCCAAATGTCTTAACATTCTTTTGCATTCTAACAGGAAAGACTAAATCCTATCGCGTACTACAAAGGATTCGGAATGAAAGAAATTCCACTTAAAAAATCATTGGTTCATCTGGTATGCATCCTTGATCTTATGAAAGGCGCCATTATCAATATCTTCCACATTCAAAATAAATTGCTTTGGTCCTGAACGGTGGAAAGCAAACAGAAATTTAATCCATGAAATAAGCTTCACACAAAAGAATATCTAGTCTCCGGTAATGTTTTCGTAGTTGTAATGGATGCACAACACATGTCAGATTACATATGACAAATAGAAGACGGCAATTAGCAAAATCCATTCAGTCTAAAATGCACGCTGTGGAGATAACCTCACATTTACCTGTATTTCATACGAATCACTGCTGTTCACTCTTAGCTTTGCTTGCATTTTACTCTGAAAGTCTTTGCACATGTCTTTATGACATTTTGAGATATTATACAAAAAAAAAAATGAAAGCACATTGCTTCAGACATTAACGGTCGTTTCTGGGTCGTCTTCATCTTCGATCAAATGCCTTCGTTCAAGTTCAAGCGTGAGCTGTTCAACGTCGCGTTCCAAATTTCGATTTTTACGATACATTTGCACATAATTTAATTGTAATTGCTTCTGATAGCTAATCACTTTTTCTTTTTCTTCCTGCCATGTCTGCCTTTCCTTTTCAATAATACTTTCAGTAGTACTGCATTTCTCCTTCATTTTTTCCAGTTCATGTCTCAACCGCTGAAGATCCTGGTGTGCATCTGACGTTAAGTCGCTTTTGTGTCGATCACTTGTTGAGCTCGACTGACTCGTCAACGACATTGGTGAAGCAGAGTCAAGCTGCTTTTTGAGCGAAATTATCTCACTTATTGACTTCTCAAGATTCTGCTGCAAGCGTGCATTTTCTATTTTAACGCTACTGAGATGGCTTTCCAACGATTCCTTTTCCCTTGAAAGTATGCTCATATCTTCATGATAACCTCCAGATCCTGATTTCAATGACCCACTAGGAGAGCTACCACGTCTGTTTGGTGAAGTTCCTCGTTTCTGAGAGCTTTCCAAACGACGTTTCAATGTAGATATTTCAGAATCACGATTATTTAACTTATCGGTTAAAAATGCAATTTCAGCTTCTCTGGCCATAGCTTTATTATCTAATGATTTGGAACCATCCCATGATTTATTGAACTGAGCTTTAAGCGCCATTAACTCCGAGTCTTTCCTTTCAATCATCTCTTTCATTTCTCGCTTCGTTTCAGACAGTTCTCTGTCTCTTTGCGTCAACTTAACTTGTAGGCTAGTCAAATCACATTCCATCTGCCTCTGTATTACAACAAAGTTACTGTTTCCATCCTTTCCTTTGGAAACACGTTCCTGGAGCGATAATTTATCTTTCTCCACGGAACCAAGTTGGTTGTGCAAACGTGCAATGTCCTCGTCTTGTGCAACAAGCTGCCTGCGTAGCGATGAGACAGCTTTGTTTTTCTCTTCCTCCGATTTCTGCAATATCAATTTGAGTTCTTCAATCTCTTTCTTGTCTTCGTTTTTCACACTCAAGTGTCCCGATGATGAAACAATCTTGCACAACTTTTCTTCTAAGTTTTTTATCACTACTTTGCGATCATGAACTTCCTGACTTAATTTTTCTTGTACTTCTTGTAGATACGAGACCTCGCATTTTTCCTGTGACAGTTCATTCTCTTTTTCAAACAGCTTACTCCTGAGTAACCCTAACTCCTCCTCTTGAACCTGCACCTCTTTTGTCAGGTTCTCATTAAGTTCATGGAGATGGTTCCTTTGCACTCGTTCTTGACTCACATCGCTATCTTTTTGCTGTAGAAGCTTCTGCAAGCTTTCTAGCTTTTGTTGGGTTGCAGTAAATGTTGCACTGTTATTCTTCCCTCTAGGGGTCTGATTTTCAATAAAAGCTAGCTTCTTTCTCAATTTATCTATTTCAGTATCCTTTCTGACTAGTTCTTCTTGATAGTTACTTAACTCGGAAATACGCCGTTGTAAATTGTTTGTTAACTGCTGAAGTTGAGAGCGCAATCTTGTCACCTCAACCTGTCTATGATCTGACTCACTGCTAACATCCGATAGTTTTGCTTTTAGTTTCAGGATTTCTCCTCTTTGTCTCTGCACTCTGATTCGCAACTCATTAATTTCTTCATCATCAACGCTGGAATTGACTCGATCATAGTCTACCAAACTCTCCTGACTTTTACTCAGTTTCTGATAGGATTTTTTCAGCATCCGCACGCCTCCATTTTGCTGACCCTAAAAGAAACAAAACACCGCATTATTTACAAAATGTGGCAATTATTTGTTAGAAAATAAACAAATTAATTACTGTCACATCAAAACTTTACTTTCAAAATAAATCTCTCGATTGCACTTAAATCTATTAACAAGTCTAATCCACCAGTGACAAAGGTATTGTTCTTAAATTCTATTGCCAAATTTGGATGTGTAATCTGTTGCCAGCCGCCAATGCATTGAGGAAAACTTGTGAAAAAGCAATCAAACAAATTAATTTGACACAGTTAACTACATGTTAATGTGTGAACAGTATGACTGAAATACAAGAGAAGTTAGACCGTTCAAAGTTCAATTACAGTTTATTCATTCATCAGTATATTAAACTTAGTCCAGTATATTATATTGTACGAGAAATTTTGGGTAGAGGAGCTATTTATAATCACAGTATGACTTCAACCTATGACCATGAAGATGAAGGGCAGGCACATGGACCACTGATCCACAGTTCTACCAGGGGAAGATTTGGGGTGCGGGGGCTGACTCGTTTCCCCCAATTTGAAAGTTAAAAAAAAAAAAAAAAAAAAAAAAAAAAAAAAAAAAAAAAAAAAAAAAAAAAAAAAGAAAGAAAGAAAGAAAAAGAAAAAAACTGATCGCCCAAAATGCCTCAGAAGTTATTATCGGGCGTCTAGAAAACACAAATTTTGTGAGGGCACGCCCCTGACCCCCTACGGTGGTGTTATCTCGATCGGCCCCACTTTCCGACATCTCTGGATCCGCTCTGTCTACCTGAAGCCAAAGTTCCAAAAGAATATAGCTGTTTATTATATTGGTTTTTTTTTTCTCAAATTAATTTTCTTTTTATAACATGAAAACATGTTACATGTATAGTAATAACTTATTCATGATTTTATACTTTGCAACTTTCCCACTAGATTTTATAACAGATGGTATGCTTATACTACAATTTGACTGATATCCGTTATTACCTGTCTTAGTCTATTTTCTGCTACATGTACCATTTCTTCTTTCTCCCTCAGTTTCACTTTTAGGTTATCCATTTGTCTCTCCCAGTGCTTCTGTTTCTCTTCATAAACTTGAAAGATAGTGTTTTCATTCTTCTCCATCGTCTGTCGAAGCGCCTCTATCGTCACTTCTTGTTGCTGTTAAGAAATAAAAGGTAAAATTTAGTAGGATTAATTATAAGTAATAATTTTAAAAATAAACTGAGAAATGCGTCCAAAAAAATACCTCCCAATCCAATCTTAAAATACTACCTCCCTCCCCTACTTGAAATACCCACCTCTCTCCACTATTTGAAATACCAACCTCCCTCTTTTACTTGAAATACCCACCCTCCTCCCCATTCTACAAAATCTACATTCCTTTAGGAAACAGCTTGCTAGTAGATGTTGAAATAAAATATTTGTTATGAAAATTCTTACCATCCCAATACAACGTTTAAACAATGCCATAATTATGCACGTCAAGTACACAAATAATTAAGCAAGGTATACACACGCACATAAAAATACTAAAACGACAAAAGTCTTTCACTGCAACTAAAGGTACTGTGTAAATTATCCCTCTAATTTGAATATTTTGTCTGGATGTAAAAAAATTCTGTTTCCTGGTGGGAAAACTTCGGAGTTTTGTTGCAAATCATCAACTCATTTCCAGAAAAACAAAAACTCATCCTTAAGTAGAAGACTGTGTGGCTAAACTGGACTGGCTTAAAGGAGTGTCTTGATCAAAAATTCTAGAAACAGTTAATATCAGAGATAATGCCACAAAAGGTCAACGGTGAACAACAATCAATTATGAATCCAAACTTCCTCTCAAGATGTCTGATTAAGATGGAGAATTATCTGAACTGAACATTCTCTCTGCCTGCAACTGTACACAATCTTGTTCTCGAATTTACTGACCAAATCTCTGATAATTACGCATAAGTTTCTGATGACTCAACAGGCAGGTAAGAACATACTTAGTGGGGGTGCTAGAATTCAATTCTCCTTCCTGGTTCAAGAAAAAGAGACTTATTCCTACTTGTGCTTAAAAACACCTTAGTTGTGAACTGTATACAGTCAACTAAAAGAACTAAACACGTGGCAAATCATAATTCATAAATTTTTATAGAATTTTTTCGTCTTTAAATAAGTTGTCCATGCGACATCAATCATAAATTAAACCACATGTATTTGACAATTTACAGGAATTTTGATGAAAGTACACGTCTTACATACCAGAATGATGATAGCAGTAACAAGCAGATCCGATTTTATTACATTTCCCCTCAAGACAATCTCTTAAATTGACTCCTGAGAACATAATTAATTGCTCAAAATCATCCATCTACGAGTATTAAAAATGTAAAGATCCTTATTTTTCAATCCTCGACTGTATGTGACATCTGTAGTATTGCAGCCATTTTAATATTGAATCTAGTATTGTAAAACTTTTCAACTATTTAGTAGTTGATTAAGCCAAAAATTAAATACCATGTCATGTTCACCAAAACCCCGCTATTGCAATACACAAATTAATGACATAGAAATGTCGGCATCACCAAAAAAATACCAAGAAAAATATTGTCCATGATATATTAAATTTTAGGTTGCCATGGCACTTCCAATCCGAGATTACTGACGCAGACGTTTGTGGCCATAATTATAAAAATACGACTCGGTTTTGTTTGTAGTGATTACCTCGTGGCATTTATTAAAATAAAAGTAAACCATTTGGTTGTTTAATATCCCATTCGTTCAATCTACCAATATGCCAATCCTACGGGTTAACAAAACCTTTGAAAGAGATATGAATGTATTGAGCCTGACTATTCAAATGAACGCTGATATTAAAATTAAAATTATAGACGAAAATACAATTTCAATTTTGGTTTAATATACGTACTTATCATAATTTGTATAATTAATACTGTTAGAATAGCAGATCAGGAATGGCAGCTCGTCAAACTCAAGGTCTTGTGTTCAATCCTACAAACAGCAGGATTTTTGCACGACTCAGGGACGGATTTAGGGGGCTCAGGTCGGCCCCTGCCTCACTCCCTTTGTGCAAAATAAAAAAAAGAAAGAGAAAAAGAAAATATTGATCGCCCAAAACGCCTCAGAGGTTATTTTTAGGGGTCTAGAAAACCAAAATTTCGTGGGGACAATCCCCCGGATCCCTTAGAGTGGTGTTATTTGATCGGCCCCAATTTCGACCCCCCCTTCGGACATCTCTGTATTCGCCCCTGTGACTAAGCCAAATCCTAAGCCTCATAATGAGTTTATCTCTAAAAAGGCCAAATAACAAATTGTTTATTTTCTCTTCCATAAAAAAAAAAACAAAAAAAAACAAGGCCCCTTTTTTGGCTGTTAGTTTTTCAGATCAAGCTGTTACTTATTTTATTAACATTCTAATAAGTCTGATAACACTGAAATTTGATCTACACAGGCATAAATAGAAGAATATGAAAATGGGAGAGATGAGAAAATATTATTTTCTTTTTTGGCATTGCTTCTGTAATTCAATTATAATAGCATCCAATCACAGTTAAGAATTAACTATAGCGACTGCCTACTTTCTTTAAACTCGGCCAAAGAATAAAAAATACACATTGTTTCACCTAAAAAACCTAAAGAATCTGTGTCTATTTGCTAAATTTCCAGCAAGAACCAAGACAGTTTTGTGCAACTGTAACATTCATGGAAATGAATGTCTATGAATATCAGAAAAAAAGAATCTGAATTACCAATTCCACACTAAGCACAAATCTTAACAAATAACCATAAATGCTAAGCTCTCCGCTTACAATTTTAAGCTGAAAAAATTCCAAATTACTTACGCCTCTTGTCAATGACAAAACCTACTTGTTGGGTATTTTCAGTTAGATTATACTGAATTTTATTCTATTGGAATCTCTGGATAGGTTATTATCCTTTGGCTTTAAATCCCAGCTGGAGGGCAAGTGCCAAATTTACTACCCACCAGGAACCTCAGTTAACCCTTATATAGCTTTTAATTTAATGATTAAGTCAATGAAAACACCCTCTTATATATAATATTTTCTTACCAGTTCATGTCTGCTCATGATGGAACATTATTTATAATAGCTTTATAACAATTTAACAATCATTTCCAACCATTTATTTTATCATAAAGAACTATACTATTCATTAAATGATTAAAATAATTGTACTCTACTAAAATTTATAACTTATTAGGTTCAACAATACTATCGTTCTTATTGTTTGTATTACTACAAAATACAAATAATATCCATTAGCAGGGTATTTTTCTGACAGACTTTCTAATATACTGACACGTAGTACCTACCTGACAGACTTTCTGATAGACTGAGTGCTTATTGAACATAGGCTACTAAGTTCCTCTCTGACTGAATAAGCACCCATCTGACAGACTGACTGCCCATCCGACAGTCTGAGTACCCATCTGACTGACCGAGTAACTATCTGACAGACTTTCTGAAACTGAGTATCCATTTAACTGAGTTTCTGGTAAAATGAGTACCATACTCATGTAACACACTTTCGGATGATAAAGACTAAGCCAGATGAAAATAATAGGGCAAGACCAAATATTTAGACATTTTAAAAATAAGGGCCGATAATTTCCTTGCAAATCGTTCTGATAAACGGAGTAGGTCCATTCATCTGACAGACCATGGAGAAAATAAAATAAAATTTTATTTTCTCCATGGACAGACTGTCTGAGAGAACATGGAATAGTACCTACGGAACATAAAAAAAAACGATGAAGTAGACTGTATACAGATCCATTCATCTGACAGACTTTATACTCACCTGATAGAATTCCTGGTATCTTAAAACATATTGTACCGAATGCCCACCTGAATTAGGGGAATAGACCAAGTGCCCAAATGACAGAGAATTTCAGATAGGCCAAGTAAACCTAGGCCTACCGACAATGTACCCACCTGACACACTCTTGTACCAAACTGAAAGTAAACAACCAATTCTACCTTCTTTTATTGTTATCAAGCGAAAAATCATCAGGTTTCAGATCTTCAGATAACATTTCATTTCATACATTAATCCAGGAACTAACCAAAATAAATGAATAAAATTCTAACAAAGACAAGAACTATAGTACTTCCACTGTACCAACTAACATATCCGGATTATTAATCATATAATGTAAAGATGAACTGAAACAATGGTAGCCTTCAGAATATTGAACCACCATGATCAACCACCCACAATTTATAAGTCATTCTTTATCCCTAGTCATGCTGCTGTCTTTGTTAATTAGAATTCTTTAAATTGCAGTAATAAAAAAGGAACTTAAAGTTTTATATTCATCCAAGCATCTGCATCATTTATTGAAAGTAGTTTTTATTCTCGTTGAAATCAATTAAATTAAAAGCCTGCTGTCAACTCTATACGTCAGTTGTAAGAAAATGTGATACAGCAAAAAAAAAATTAAATTAATGTGCTACCCAAGTGACATTTAGAAATCAGGGTCGGTGAGGTCAAATTATAGACCTAGACCCGATTCTAGGATTTATTGCCTACCACATCCCATGTATGTTACTATTATTGTTAATTGTTGGTTGATTAAATAGAAACCATGAAGGGCTAAAATCCATATATATAAATGAAATGTAGAAATAAGCACTTTAGGCGTCTCATTATTAACATATTCTTCCAGTCCGTCCTCCTCCCCTTTTCCCAAAACGTTGACCCGTAGATGCAGTATTTGAAATTTTGAGTTTGTTACCACAGGTTTCAGTAAACAACCTCTATAATGCTGTACTGGAACGTTTGAGCTTGATACATTTGTATGTGCTCACTAATGATTAGAATCGGCTGTTCATGTTCTTACTTCCTATACAAACAGATCTGTGTATACAACTAAAGGCCTACAAATTAGCTCAAGAGAAGGTTAAAAATGTCATACACAACAATTTAATTTGACATTAAATTCACTATTCTTTATATAGTAAAACTCTATTTACACATAAAGGGAAAATAAATCTACAGATTATGCCTTAATGCTATTTTCTATACATGGTTTACCAACAGCAATTTGCTATACACTTAACAATATGTAAAAATTCACGATACAAAAAGAAAAAAATTACAGTTTTAAAATATACTAATCAAACATGGAGCCATGAACCAAATAAGTTTGAAATATGTATATGTATCTTTCCCCTATGGCTACTACCAATTCCACACAAACACATAGTATTTTAGACCTTGGCCAGCCCTAGGCAAATAGACACTCGCTGTTTACAAGGCTATCTGAGTTTCTGCAGTGATTATCTGAATATTTTTGTATGTGAAAGTTTACAAGTAAGAAATATATTTTTTGTAAAAGGTAAAGGAGGTACTATATAAGGCCAGATTGGATCAATGCAGTATTCATGAATGTTGCTTGGAAACACTGTTTTAGTTTTCAAGAATCATACTGTACTATACAACGTTCGATTCCATTATTTTCAAAATACTTAAAATATACGTCAGCATATTCATAGCAAAAATGATAATCTAAACACACATGCCTGGTTGACGATAATTAGTATTTTATTTTGGTTTCAATACTTCAAAATTCAAAATAATTGGAAAAGTATTATAGTGCCAATTAATTAGAAATATGAATATTGTAGTCATAAAACCAGTCGGAGGCCATTTCATTAAAAGTATGTACTGTAGCAAGGAAGATACTATACTGTGTAAATGTCGCAAGATATACGATTGAATTGAGAACCCCTTGAATATGTTATAACCGCACCACTACTTACATAGCATAATAAACTTATTGAATAATGCTAGATGAGTTGACGCCTCTTATCAAAAATGCGTGGATTTTAAAGACACGATACTGGATAGTACTATAACGGAGACGTTTTCTGCATGGAATGCACAAATTGGTTTCGTGTGAAGCCCACTGACTAATTTACTAGAAACTAGCTTGCCTCTATAGATTTACCTAGGGACAGCAGTAATGATTATTAGACAGCCAATATGAAACTCTATAAAGCCAAACTTAAATAAAAAATTGTTTCTTATACCTCCCTATGGTAACTTTTTAAAAATTTTGAAAAATAAAAATCTGTGCGCGCATGTGGGAATATGTGGGGAATTTGTGTGTAATGTCCATCCTGTACAGGGAGATGGGGGAGAGTGGAAAAATGCAAATCCCATTCAAAAACTATAGTACAACCATGGAGGTATATATGGTAACATTTTCCTTGACACTCTACTGTACTTCAGTACTTATAGCTGCACTGTTTACTTTCATTCATATTTATAACTACTGTACTTACTAGTCTCCAAGGAAATCAACTATTTTTCTGTATTCTCAAGGGAATACATAACTTCCGACTTAAACTAATTCTATAGTACCTACCAATTTCCATTGAATTACATATTTGACTATATACTCAGGAGTTTTGATATTTTGTCCATGTTTACATTTATTTATTCTTAAGGAAACCCATACATAAGATTCTCAATTCAATAGGTTGTTTGACTGAATTCTCAAGAGTTTTGTTAATACTTCTCTCTGTTTATATCATTTCCGACAAAAAACCTAGACTCTAGAGTACTTACCAGTTTCCATTGATATTAGATATTTTACTGTATTCTCAAGAGTTGTGTAATTTTTTTGTGCAGCTAGCAGTCAAACAAATACACCATCTTGACATCTACCAGCTAGAGAAACATACCTTTCACTTTCCATAAAGATCCTCTGTAGTACAGTGTCTGTCCCTTTGTTGTACAACATAATTACTTAATGATGAGGACCAGCCTCAGCTCAGCCGACACATGGTATATCAGTTAGTTAGTGGCTGTAGTCTGCCACTTGCATCAGATATCTTAAAACTGGCTTGATGCCAAGGTTTACATCACCTGCTGGAAGCTACACATCAGCTCAATACTATCTTAATCAATATGAAATCCCAGTGGACAGTAATTGCTTGTTGTAGGTTTATTATGGAATCAATTTAGAGCTTTGCTACAGGAAGGATTGATGAAAGGATTCGGGTAAAACATTGTTGACAATTTGTACGTTTGCCTGTTTAAAACGAACGGTTCTTTTCATGATATTGAAATAAAGAATGTATCGCCTGAACACATATTGCCCAATCAGTCATACAAAAATTAATTTGGATACTATAAGTTATGATGAAAAAATAAATAACTCACCTGCACTTTGTTACGTAGCATTAGCAGCTCGTCTTCTTCGACACAAACTGATGACCCACGAGATGATTGCCTAGATGAGTGTCTGGAAGTTGGAGACCATCCTTCCTGGTGTCCTGATCCAGACACTCGGCCAGATGATGATAAACTGCCGTGACTTGAGCGTAGCGATTCGTTTATATGATTCATATGCTTATCAGAGGACAAGTTATTGTGACTGTGATTTCGCATACGATGTTCCAAGGGTCCTTTTGTAGAGGGCGATCCACTAATCGTGTTGTAATTTCCATTAAGGTAGTTTAATGATTGTGACGGATGCAATTTACCGCTTTTATTCCGTCGACCTGACTCTGGACCGTCAGAAATAGATGCTAAGTTTGGATGGAAGGTGGGATGTAGAGAGGAAGAGTTTAAGTCTTGTAGGGAATATGCTTTCACTGGCGGTTCCTGGAAATGATTACCTCCATAGTCTCTTCGCTGATTTGCCAAGACCACATCAGGAACACGTCTAAGATCACGAATGTTATCAGGAACACTTGGTTTAGGAGACGCAGACATTGTCCGTTTAATTTTGCCAGATGAATGCGGCGACGTGCACGGATGCATTGCGATTGGTCGTATCAATCCCTTTTCTTTATGCTGTTGAAATAGAAAAAAAAAATGTTAATAAATAAGTGCAGTATTCAAACTCAGTTAATGTGTCATATATAATATATTGTGTGTTGTCAATTACATGTTTGCAATTATCACAAGACCACTCTGTGCAGAATTCACTTTAGAATGATGCGTGTTATTGTCACATTAATAATGTGCAAATATACTGTGTACAATATATACTGTGTACAGTGTACAATACTGTCGCATTTATACTGAAAAAGATTGCATTCTCATAGAAAATTTGCTGGGCAAAATACATCAGCTCCTTAGTCTCTCAGATATTGTGCCACCCCTCCCCCCTCCCTTTGCCATGTGCTATTGTCACATTAATACTGTAATGCGCATGGTTTAAAAATTAGTGAACAATACTGTCACATTGATAATGAAAAAGATTGCATTCTCATAGAAAATTTGCGAGGCAAAATATATCAGCTCCTTAGTTTCTTAGATAGTGTGCCCACCACCCCCACCCCTTCCTTTGTCATCCCTTTGTCATCACCAATTCCCTATAAGCTCCATGCTCACTAGATGGATGGATCACTAATCACCTGCATTCCAATACATTGGAAATTGTAGCATACATGAAATTTACATAGTGAACATATGTTCATTGGAAATAATGAACTTGATCTTGCCTGAAATTTGAGAGCTAAAAAAAAAGGCAACACAAAAGTCTTACACCTAGCTATAGGCAAAGATAAAACCACACATTATTATTAAATAGGAAATGCACTTACTGTCTGTCATATCACTCTCGTTAGAAATATTATTACACAGTATACATTGTTACAATGTACCATTCATAATATCAGACAGTATAGGTTGAAAACACAAAAACAAAGGACATCAGCATGAAATTATTCCTGCAGATATAATCCCATTTGTGGTGATGAGAACTGATCAATTGCAGCCATTATTCCTTCTTTCTGGGTGATCAATATTTTGACATCAAGTGATCCTTTATACATGGAATTTAAAAGTCATTATCTGAACACAAATTGTGGTAAATATTCATAGGAAGGATTTCCTATGGGGATTAATAAAATATTCATTTGATTAAAAAAAAAAACAAAACAGACCTCCGAGAGGGCTGTAATTCCTGTGCAAAATATCTTACCTCATATAAAGTTCTGTCTACACTACAACATTTCATATGACAAATATGCCCATATTTGAATGTAATATTACATCACCATGTCCATATACGGACATATCCCACAAATTTGTGGACAAACCTTAAGGTAAAGATTAAACAGTCATCAAGTTGAGACCTTGAAGCAGGCACTGAATCATTTAAATGCAGTACTGTACATATAGTAAATTATGTACACAAATTCTTTCATTTTTGTGTCTACTACCTCCTCTGGGATGCAGTAGACAGTATTTTGTAGTCTGGCAGTTAACCCCCATAAGAGCGGGTAAATCCAGTGGAGAGGTGCATGATGGGTACTACCATGAGATAGGGGTGCCCTATTAGAAAACGAACAGAGTTCGAAAGTCAAAACAAAATTGCGTTCGAAACTCATAGAGACGAGATAACTGATTCCCAATTCAGATAAATATGTAAAAATTTTTAAAGAAGTGTATAAGGCAGTATACACACGTTCCCTCTGGGAGCCTTTTTTTAATTGGGAGGGGGAAGGATATTGTAGTTACCGGTAAGAAGTTTACAAAAACCAAGAACAAATCTACGTTTTTTTTTTGTTGCTGTGACAAATGCCATCAGAGTGCATTGAGATACTGTTACCATATGTCAATTTTTCCAGGCTAGTAATTGATACAGAATAAATATTGAGCTATAATTCCACAAAATATTCTTTGCACAGTGTTCTCGGTTTAGCACAATAAACATGCTGTTCCTTAAGGCTATTAAAACACTCAATTACATATGAATATCTGAATACTTATAAATTACAGCACAGCATTTGCCTTGCAGAATAATAATTCATTTTATAAAATCTAAAATGCATTCTAATTTAATAATTGCAATGACTTATAAACAGAATTTGGAAGAAAAAAAACCTGATTCATTACAAGACAATCATTCAATATGACGTATTTCGATTATTAAAATGGCATTTTATGAAATTTTATAATTTTAATCTGGACTAAAATACAATAGTTGTTTCCAGAATACAACTAATGAAATAAATAATATAGGCCTACAACAATAATTAGTACTTGTACTTAAACAGAATCCTAGTGGTAGTTTTTGTTTGATGCTGAACAATATAAATTAACCTAAAATTGTTATTAGAACAGAAAGTACACAAGCCTGAGGAATTTTAAGCTTTCTAATCAGAAAAACAAGGCCAATCAAATAAATCCAACAACTTTTAATAAGAAAACCTACATATCTGTCCTTGCTGAAGGAAAGTAAGGGGGGGTTGCCATGACAATAGATTAAGTGGCTTTACAACGATTGACTACCTAGGATACTGTATGTTTATCTCTTTCCCACCTCTGTTGAGCTATATAAGAATGAATGAATGTTTGTCTCAAGTATTCAAAAGTACATGATTAAGAAACATGGGTTGGCAAGACTGTCAATTTCAAGCATATTTGGTAAATACATTGAGAACCACCTCTATTAATGGGCCACATCTTTTATAGGACCAACTCATCATCTTGAGTGGAGAAAATCTTATTTCTGACATTTCACCCGAAATATATATATGATCCTACCCCTCACCTGAACGATGGCCCTTAAAATAATAGTTCCACAAACAAAGCTGGCTTATGTTTTATGTTAATGGTATAAACAGTCAGAATTCAACTTTAAATAAAACCACTAATGTTTTAAGATTTATGTATTGAGGCCTAGAAATGCCAAAGCCCAGAAACTGGAATTCTGAATAGGAGGAAAGACCTCTTGCATGTGGTTAGTATTTCAGGTGGTGATCTCTACTTAATCATGCAGACAGTGGCAATTCAGTAATTTAAGAGATGCCATGCCTAGAAAATGGTGTCATCTCTTTTGTTACACCAGTCACCCCCACCTACATTGCGGATGATAAAAAGCAGTAAAAAAAAAATTACCAATCATCGGAAAATCGTCTTAAAAACATATTTTAATGTTTTTAAGGTGTGTGTTAGGGCAATTTTCTACTTAATTGAACTAACTCATCTAATGTGTTGTTCTACAGTACCTGCCTATACTGTATAACATTATAGTTTCCTATCACAGAACAATGGATAATATACATCATTGAACATAAATATAAACATCCTCAAAACCATTGTTAAAGAATAAAACATATCTACAAAACATAAACAATCTATTTCCAAATACCGAAAGGTCCAATGATTAATCTCAGATAAGATAGTATAATACATACTCCAAGTATCGAAATGCACGCCATCGTGTCGAGATTCAATATTTCGACATTAATTATGTCATCATCATGAATTCCAAATCATCATCCACTACATTTGATGGAACAGCTAATTTATCATTACTGTTTTTAGTTCAGATATAAATGCATAGACTGTGAGTTACCTGTGATTATGGGAATATCAGTCACATGACGAAGTTGCCCTAATTTCAATCCCATAACTCGTAGGCCTATTATTTACTGCCACCAAATCCCCTATGAACGACTAATTGTCAAAGTTGAATTAAATATGACTGTTCTCGTCCCATGCTGCCTAGCTTGCGATGTCAATGAAATTATTACTTGCAGCTCCATAGCAACATACAGGTGGGCCCTACAGGTAGCATATGACATTCGACAGAGGATTTCAATCCTCACCTTGTAAACATACCTGCACAGGTAGAATGCATTCCTTCAGTCTTTGACAGAATCAGAGCTATTTCAACTGGAAAGGGCAACACAGTGTTGAGAAAACTGTTTGAACCGTTATCAAAATTCACATAAAGTTAACTTTATATTCCACTTGTAATAAATTCTGTTGCTTGTAAATCTCCTAAATCTAGGACAGAGATTGATCCAATCTGGGCTTATATAGTACCTCATTTATCCAACTCAAGTGACCAGAACTGATGACGTATTCCCCTGTGATCCGCAGTGTACTGAGAGAAAAGATCTTGCCTAGCCCATAGACTTTTGAAGTGTCTTTGAATCATCGATCTCTATGGCAATTACAAGAAGCATTCTTTGAATCACATGATGCATGGTGTCACAGAGAGGGATGATAGAGGCCATGTTGAGGTGGAGTCAAAGGTAGATTGGCTCCAACCATGAGAACTGAAAGCTCTGTATTCATAAGCTAAGGTGTAGGCTTACTTTTAAGGTCGATAAAGAGACTTTGGCCAGGGAGAAATTGGCACTAAGCCATAGTGGCACTTGACTGAGTCCCAGGCCATCAAAAAACAGACATAAAGGTCCTACAAAATTGTATCATGTTTACAGAAAGATGTCTTGATTTACAGTAGTGCATATTTAATAGATGTTACAAATTTTTATTTTGTACTATAATATAGTCTCTAAAGGTACAAAAAAACCCCCAAATTTGGCCAACTATAAAATCGGTTTTAACTGTAGACCAACCTAAAGTCTAAAGGTATATTTTGTGTACCGGTAATAAATTAACAGTTATTATACATTATTTGCATTTCAGTTATTTCTCTGCATTGCTATGACTAAAATATTATTGTACTTCACTAACATTACCTATAGGCTGCAACATTCATTTTGTTAAACTACAAAATAATAAGATTTATTTACCAAATTGATAACTTACACATTTCGTTAATAGTTCCAAGCTTTTTGATCGCTCAATTAGCAAATTCATATTCCTAACCTCAAGCATATATGGGTGGAGTACAGTAAACGAGTCCCCAGTACTGAATGGCTCCAACTTAATGTTGTCTATTATATATTATAAGTATTAATAACTTAGTGCTTTGTAAATCACAATACAGTACCCCATTCAAAACCTTATCTCCCCTTCTAATCCAGGTAAACTTAGATCTAAAGATCTTAAATGCTTGACAAGCTAAGCCTCAGCTAATAACAACA